GTGCGGCGACGATCACGCGAGATATTATCGATTCTTACGTGCAATTTTTTTTTTTTATCTCTGCGAGTAAACGTTCTTCAATGGAATCTGAAATATTAGCAGAACAAATATTTGTGGCACTTACCGCTACAGGAGATGGTGATACATCGATGACACGATCCGCAACTTCCGCAGCTTTATCCAAGGTTAAAGGCGTGTTCGCTGCGAGTATCGACCTGTACGAAACTCGGGATATGCTGTAAAAACAGTTAGCATTAGTTCATCGGAAATGCTGTATGACTCAGCGCGTCGTCGCATTATGCGTAAGAGTTCACTTGGCCGGCGATCTCCCAACTGTTCGCCGCCGAGGAGTTTTTTCATTTCTTGATGCGTCGATTCTCCGCACCGCTTGATTAGCTCAGTTTTAATGTGATTGTAAGGATCCGTGGAGTTGGGGGCTTTGATTACATCTCTCACAATTGATGCGGCGGCTTCGGCGGGCAGGTGCGAAACAATGTAATTATACTTCGTGCGAGACTCCGATATCGCTTTCGGTGTTCCCAATTCAAATGTTGCTTCGCACATAGTGAACCATAGTGAAGGATCGGCGAAGTTGTACACAGGTATCTTTACTGCTCCGATTATTGCTGTTCCTTCAGTCATTTCCAGTCACGTGGCTAAGTCCCAAGTAATATGTAAAAAAAAAGAGAATTTTTTTTTTTTTTTTTTTTTTTCCGTGCAAATATTAGTTTAAAACAATAACGCTTGGTTGCTGCAAGGCCGGGTCACCATTGTTAAGAATCTATGATAATTATTTAGGAAGATCAAATTAGATTCAACATTTCAAACTTAACAATTTTTATTTCATCTTCACCTCCAAACTACACACGTGCACCATCGCGCGCGTTCGACGACTGACTCTCTCCTTGAGAATCTTGGGATAGAATTTTGTGGTCTGTAATCATGTGCTGCCATCTCTCGGCTGTTCTGGGGTTAAATTGGTATGATATTTTTTTAGACTTTTCCAAATAAGATAAACCACAACAAAAAAAGTTCAATTTTAAGCATTTGGCATTTGCCTTTTTTTCCTTTTGGATATTTAAGAACTCATTTAAAAATTAAGCTGATGAGGTCAACTGTCCACATATCAAATTCACTCTCTAAAGAGCTGTTCGGCAGCTACTGTGCGATTGACATGCTGCATTATCGTCCATGAAAAGGAACTGCGGACCCATAGCGCCTCTAAAAAGACACACATATGGAAGAATCTCGTTACAATAACGGGTCCCGTTGACTGAACCTGCGTCGAAGATGTGAAGGTCTGTACGACTACCAAGCATGATGCCTTCCAAACGAGAACACCGCTACCTCCAACCTGTCTCTTTCAATGATGTTCGAGGGATGATTGCGGCTTTCCCGCTCTCTCCAGAAAATGCGATGAGAATCTGCCTTACTCAGACTGAATCTGCTCTCATCTGTAAAGAGTAATCGTCCCCATTCTTTCTCCAATTCCGGTTGTTCCCGGCACCACAGAGAAACGCCTTCTCCGATGGGCAAGCGTTTTAGAGGTAACAACCGTACATGGGCATAGTGCAAAACAGACCACCATCGTGCAGTCTTCTGGCCATAAGGCTTAAAACGCGATATCGGTCGTCCTTTTATTTTGTCGCGTGCCTGGCAATTTCTCCCGCTGTCTGCCGCCTGTTTCTTCTGGCCTGTATAGCAATATACCGGTCATATGCAGGGTGTAAATTCCTCGTGGACGACCACTACTAAACCCCCGGATAATAGCTGTTCCTGTAGTTTGAAATTGTCTCCAAAGTCGTGAAACGATGCATGTGATGCAATTCCGTAAAACTCTGCATAGCCACACTTTCACACTGCGGCCTTCCTCCAACTTCCCAATGATTCGACCTCGGGTAAAAGCATCCAGATGTCATCTTGAAAACAGATTGATTATTCACCATTTCTCGCTGAGGCAGCAACTCGGTGTGATTTTAACTGCTATACGGCGTGCAATCTCTTTGCCAGAAATACTGATCTTACACCGACAACATGCTTTATACTACTCAGACACTCCCACATTATGTCTACCTGCATATCTGCGCATGTGCTACCGTACATCACCTTACTTAATCTCCTGATTGGTCTTTCTGTCCGCTCTGCATCTTCATTCAGCTGATATGCTAATTTTTCGATTTCGTCCTTAATTTTTGCACACTAGTGTATTTGTTTCATGTGATTTTTACAAGTGAAATTTTTACAGTGTGAACAGATTATAGTTGTTCGAATTCTTCGTCATTATATTTGTTTAATTCTTCATCTGATAACTCTTAAAGAAGTCTCGCATAATCATCAGGGTGAACTATATCTTTTGTCCTTGAAAACCTGAAATAAATATGAGAAAGTCAGCTTAATTTTTTGTATATTAGTAAACAATTTGAAAGATAGAGAAATTAAATAATTCTAAAGTATTATTTTTTTTTTTTTTTTGTATGTTAGTAAATAATTTGAAAGATTGACAAATTAAATAATTCTAAACTATTATGAACAGTAATGTTACATTCTAATCATGCAAAAGTTAAGAAACAAACTAGGAAGTGTGAAAACAAATACTTACATTGTTACACAAATGTAGCACTTTGTGCACCACGAGAGACTTGTCAAAAACAATCCTGGAATTAAATGCGGGAAATTGGGACCTTCAACATTTTACATCTTCCTTTTCTGAAACAAATAAATGGACAAAGGTTAGGTTAGGAGTAGGTGATTTTCTTGGAATTCGTGAAAAGGTTTTCAAGAACTGTAGCACTCTGTGCGCCACCTGTGTAACTAAGGGTTAAACACTTGAATACAGATATCAGTATTTTCCTTTCTTATGAAGAGGATAAGTTGTTGTTTCTGTGCAGTGATTTTAAGTTTCCATATCAGTGGTTCTAAGACTTCTTCTTCTGCATACCTCTTAATAAGATTTTGAAATTATAAAGTACCCCTAATATTTCCCTTTGGAAATACTCCCCTTTTGGTGCAAAGAGAACCTATCATCCTCCTCATACCCCTCAAGTATTTTTGCAGTATATCTTAGTATTGTTCTATTTTAATTCCATGTAATTAATAAAGTCAAAGAAATATAATTGATAGTTTATTCTTTTTCATATAATGATAATTTTGAGGCTGCTTTAAAGAAATATTCATTTAAAGGAACTAACATCCAGTTTTACTCCTCAATTTGTTTTGGATAGAAAAGTCTGTAGATTCCTTTTAAGAAGATTATTATTCCTTGGATTCCTCTTAAGAAGATTATTTTATGTTCCCTTTTATTCTGTTTATACATGAAGATCATTTTATAGTAAGAAGTTGTTAAGTGTCTCAAATACGTAAGTTTGATTTTTCCCCCTGTACATGATTTCCAGGAGGACACTTTGAAAGCAATTTTAGGTTTGTTTTGTAATCCTAAATTGAGTTTATTTTTGAAAAAGTATTGGCTAAATCATTGAAAGCTATTTATTATTATGAAATTTAAAGTTTAACTAAAATGAGTGGCATTAAAAAAAATGCTGAGCTTGGATTATTCTATTCATGATGGTTTCGGTTTTGTGCAAAGATTTACTTTTTTACTATGTTAACATCTACACTCAAATTGGTTTGAATGCAACATTTGCAAGGAAAGACAATGTATAACTGACTTGATTATTCACTCAGTACTGAAAGTAGACCTGAGAATCAATCATTTTGTAGGACATGGAGTAACAGACCCAGAAAGGGAAGGATTATGTTGAATGTGTAAGGAATCAACTAATACGATAAAAGTGGGTGTGGCCAGATATGGCTAAATACTTTCAGCAATGATCATAATAGAAATCTTCATGATTGTTTTTTCTTTCATTCAGTGACAAATTAAAGCCTTTTTGAATATTTTGCCTTTTATCTATAATTATTAAAGCACATTTATTTTCCATCATTAGTACCGTTAATTCGACCTGCTTTGGGCTTCAACCCAGGCAAAGGAGCTGCTTGCATTTTTTTTTTATTTATTTATTTTTTTTTTTTTATTTTCCCATGCATAATGTAAATGTTAATCAGTTTTCCTCAAAAATTCTCCATCAAGGAGAACTCAAAAGCTGGCCATTCTTTTAGGCAGATAGCTCTTATGGTTTTGACATATTCAAATAACCTAAATTAATCACCATTACTAATTATTTTCCCACATACGTCTTGTGCATACCATAGGTTGGGAACTACTGTTCCAAATAATTGATCAATGTATATGATGCTTCTGATGTAATGTTTGAAGTACTATCAGTGTCATATTTTCAGTAGTTTTATAATAAATTATTATTTCTGCGCAAACAGTTTTGTATCTTATTTTTATCTTTAAATTGGATATAAGTCATAATGTGTAACTGAATAATTTATTTTATCCAATACTGGTATTACTATGATTTTTAACTTTGTAAGAAACTGAATGGAGATTACATACCAACATTAGGACTTTAAACATTGTTTAAACAAACTGTTTAAACTTTGGAAGATAACTAACTGTTAGACTGAAATAGGCCTCGTAAAAAGTTCTCTAGAAGGATTTTCTTCTGAGTCAGATAATCTTTATATATTTTGTCATCATAAATTTTTTGCCTAAAAATAAGAGGTGAACTATTAATTTATTTTATTTCATTTAATAAATTTTCTACATAGAAAAAAAAAGGAAGTTAAATGTTCCTTTTCCTCTTTGACTAAATGGTTTCTTTTTTAAATTTAGAATAAATTCTTATATTTAATATCTTTTATCATAATTACTTTTGCTCATAAAGTGTTTTTATGTTTTGTGAAAAAGCCTCGTGCAGAAGTATTTGATATTGTAACATGAAGTTTAAGAAAATTTTCAAACCCTAGGCATTCATAGTTTTGTAGATAGTTGAAAATTTATACAATAAATCTTGAGTTACAGTAAACTTTTAAATTCTTGAAATCACTGTTAAAGTAAAAAATACTATATACTTTGTAATTATTATTATTTTTAGGTTTATCTTTGGCGACAAACAGATCCATATTTGAGAAGGTGCCTTTTCACCTCCCAGAAGCAGCTTCTTATATCAGATATTCACATCAATCATTATTCAGTAGGAATGATAACTTTTGATAATGAAGGATACATGGGCCAGATTCTTCCTTTCAAAGGTCAGCGATCTGCCCCGCCTCCTGCTACTGTGCATGTTCCATCAATTTTCAGTCGAGAAGGATCATCTGGATTGACTGTATTGCTGGACAGAGATGACTGTAATTTTATAAAAGTTAAAAGACTGCCTCATATTTACCGGGGGACCTCTATTACCAGTGATTCAAAGGGGAGGAATTTTGCCATTTTGCAATCCAGTCCTAAAATGGGGTAATTTCTAGCTTGGTTTTAATTCAACCTGAGTATTGTATTATTAAAAATATTTCGTTAATATATTACTTTTAGATGGGATAACTCTTCAATTTACCCTTAACTTCAATAATTAGCAGAATCCCCCTTCCCATTTTTGGTATTCTTATTATATTGTTCAATGAATTTAGTTGAAATTTAAGTGTAAAGTTTAATATAGGTGAAGATTCTTTTAATTTTTGTGTGTTAAATGTAATAGGCATATATTGTAATTTATTTTAAAGTAAGGTATTTTTTTTCATTCATTTCTGTAGCAAACCATGCTGATAAAAAAGATTCTCTGAATTAAACAAGGTCTTTGCTTCAAAATAGCTGCATTCTGTATTTTTGCGTCACTCCCAGAAGCTTTTGTACCATAAATAAAATGCTTTTTAGAACTCCTTTAAATGAAATGTGTCTTGTACCTTTTGCTGTTTGGTATGAATGTTCTCTTTGGCATCTGAATGGTAGGTAGTCGTAGTGGAATTTCAGGTTTGGAAATATTTTAAAAAGAAAGAGAAAAGAAATAAAAAAGTGAGAAAGGCCTTGTTTGGGAGAATTTTAAAATTTCGAACACCAAAGAGAACATTTTAAAGCTAGAAGTTAGTAAAGAGAATGTGTCATTAATTATTTATGACATGAAGGCCATTGTAGAAAGAGAATTCATCCCATCGGGTCAGGCAGTTGATATGGTGTTATATTGCTATGTTTTAAGGCAACTGAAATATGATATTCATCACAGAAAAGTATTGTGAAGAGACAGGAAGTAGTTACTTCATTATGACAATGCACCGAATTACAGTGTGTTGGAGATGCAACAGTTTTTGACAAAAAGTAAACTCTTACTCTCTAATTGCAGATTTTACAACTTTGTGATACTTTTTAATTTTCAAGACTGCAATCCAAAATGAAGGATTGCTATTTTAACATTGCAGAAAACAATCTACCCAAGTTATTGGAAACGCTTCAGTTAAAAGTCTTGTGGTTAATACTTTAGTGCATGCATCAGATTTGGTGCATAAATGTAGAAAGGGATATTATAATGTCTGTGTAGGGGGAGGGGGTGTATTAAGATCAAATTTAGTTCAGGTAAGTTTTCAAAATTTGTTTGGCATTATTTTCCTTCTGATCATCTTAATATTCACAGAATAATATGTTACTTATATATTTTCCCTCTAACTATGAAAGTCGGCAAAAATTTTGTCAAATATTTGCCAATCATTTTGCCTAGAGTTTGGGAGGAATATATTGGTCTTTATTTAGTTAGAAAATTAGTGATGAATTGTGCCCATTAACCCATGCTTCCTTTTTTTTTTATGCCAGGATCCCATAAATTTGGAGAAACAAAATCTCTACTATATACCATTCCGCAGATCCAAAATTTTATTATATTTTAAAATATGAGGGAAGAACAGAAAATAGCAGTTTCATAATTCCTTATGTATTTCTCCTCTAACATTTTAGACCAAGTTCTGTAAATTTTAAAAGTATTTGCATATTTTCTCAATTCTCCTTTCAAGTTATCCTAAATTTTAAATTGATTTGTCCATATAGTGAATGATTTTGTTTCATTAACAAACTGTCACAAATTACTTGTAAAGGTCAGGTTGAACTTTATGCCAGCCTAATACAAGAATTGACTAATCACAGCAAAGCAAATATGAACTGATATTCGGTCTATGATTTTGTTGAGTCAGCTGCATGTTCACCTTCTCTCTTAATTATTTATAGACAATTTAAACCTAATGTGTAGCAGAGACAACAATAAAATTAGGCGAAGTTCAAGTTCTAAAGAAGAAGAAATGAAGATCATTGTTATGTTAATATTGCTGTGTATTATTGGAATGAAGGTTTCTTTTAAAGAAATAATATTGTGATAGTTAGTTACCTATACTTTATCCATGACTACTACTCATTTTTTATGTTCTTTTAATGTGACTAGGTCCTTTGGAAATTTAATTATTCGTGTAATTTTCGTCTATCGATTTTCAGATGATAAAAAAATTAATAAAATATGGGGAGATATGCTAGGAAATATAGCATGTTCTTTGCAAAAACCAAAGTGACTTATCATAGGAATTCATGAAACTAAGATCTTATTAGTGTTTTCTAATGTTATGCTTACCCAGTATTGTGGTAAATCACATTATTTGTGATAGTTTTCATTGAAACTGTATAACGATAAAGAATTTGACTGTCATAAAAACCAGAATATTATATGGAAATCTTAAATCTAAATGAATTGTAGATGACATATTAGATATTTATAGTATTGATGAAACCTTCCAGATTTTATACAAAATTATATTGTGAATATGCATTTAACTCATATAAAAGCATTTATTTGTAATTTTCACAAATTAATGCAAGTATTAAATTGATGTTGTAAAAGAAATTTAGTGTGTATAAATCAGATGTAATGTACTTTTATTGTCTTTGAAAAATACTATAGTTTGAATGTTATTTTATTATTTTTCCTTCCGTCATATAGCCTTGTGGAAATTCCCATAGTCTCAGAATCGGGGTTACAGCAAAATATTTGCAAATTGCTTTCAGAAACAGATATTAAAGATGATTTTCATGATATAATTATAAAGGTAAAATATATTATATATATTTTATGAATACATTTTTAGAACTGCAATGTATTAGTATTTGCATGCTGTATTTATCATTTTCAGGTTAGCAAATTTTGTTTATGTACATGTTTTAATTTTTAGGTTGGCAAAAAACAGTTTGCTGCTCATCGATACATACTGGCTTCACGCTGTGATTACTTCAAAAAGCAATTCAGTAATGATAGTTACAAAAATGGTGAGATGATAATAGAAAATATGAAGCCTGAAGCATTTGAACAAGTGCTCAAATTTCTTTATTGCAATTATTGTGATTTCTTAACTCTAGGTTATGAAGTGAAGTGGTCCTCAGAACCAGAGGTTTGTTTATTTTTTTTTTTTTTTTTTTAAGACATTTCCAGATTGTACGATTTGCATACATTTTAACTTTAAATTATAAGAGTTGAAATTATGGAAACTGATCAATGGAGTTTGCAGATAGAAGTTTTATCTTTTCTCATTTTACTTTCTGTGTATTTTTAAGGCTGGGAAGAAAAAAAAGTCGAATACAAAAAGTGTGAAAAAAGTGAATCCTATAATTCTAGTCCAAGAAGCAAGTAGAAGGTTGAATGTTGGAATTTTAACAAAGAAGTATGTCACCATTTCTGCATTATTTTCTATTTGTTAGTGTTACATTTATTTTTACTTTTTATGCGATTACTTTTATAGTTCAAACATCTCAAAATAATATTGCATAAACTTTTTTTTTTTTTTTTCCCAGATTAGATGGTGTGAGAATAGTTGATGGAAAAATAACTGTTGTAGAAGAAATGTTTTCATCAAAACTTAATTTCGACAGATTTTCACTGTTAAGTATAGATATTTAGTTTCTGTATTTATTTTAATATGTATGTGAACTTCATTTGTATTGGAAATTATCACTGCAACAGTACAGAAAAATATTGTTTAATAACAAACTTTTAATAATGATCCTTTTTTTCTTTTATGCTTAGATCATTTTTATCTGATGTGAATCTTCTATCATGTGATGGTTGTGTGTTCCATTGCCACAAATGTATACTTGCTGCTAGGCTAGATTATTTTCACAGTATGCTTAGTTCATGCTGGGCTGAAGTAATTCATTTCATGTCTTTGAATATATAAAAAAGGTACTTATATATTATCCCTTTGACCATGAAACTGTTTCTGAGCAGCACAATTTGGTTCCATGTATGGATAAGCATGATGTAAAAAGTCATTCGTAACATTTGCGCTTTTGTTTCATGCAACCCCAATTCTCGATAAGCCACCTCTTTTTTTTTTTTTTATGAATAAGGATATAAATTAACTATTATTGCTGTATTTTTTATACATTTTTGAAAAAAAAACTGCCTTCTACAGAGCAGCAAACAGTGGATTGTTTTCAAAATTAAGGGATCCCACTATAAAAAAAGTATGTTAATAAACATGACATGGTCAACAAAACAGCAATAAATTGGAATCCGTCTAAAGTTTGTACAGTAGAACCTCAAGATACAAATTTAATTCATGCCAGCGTTGAGCTCGTATGGCAAATTTCCCGTATCTAAAAACAAACTTCCCCATTGAAAAAATGAAAATCCAGTTATTCTGTTTCGTGCCGCTAAAATTATCAACATAAAAATAAATATTTCTAGTAAATAACACTGGTTAATAATATAACCATAGTTTACCTTTATGATAGCTTCCAACACCGACCTTTGTATTGCTTCTCATTAATCCACACCAACAACAGCTTTTCAACATCTAGGAGTTTTGGATAGTGCTTGGAAGTAACAGTAACTCCTTTGGCTGCATCAAGTTTCTTAATTTCTTCCTGCTTCTTCAGAATAGTGCAAATCGTCGATGGCAAAAGGTCTTAAGTCTTCACCAATTCCGTCACTCTTACACCACGCTTGTTTATCTATGATTTCCTTCTTAATTTCAATGGCCATAGCTTCCTTATTTTACTTTGCAGCACAATCTGAGGCAGCAATCTTCTTGGGAGGCATCGAGAAATAATTATTTTCACATTAAATGTAATAAGCAATTAACTCGCAAGCATGCAAACACGTAGATCAAAGAACACCCAGTGATCCGACAAGGGGATTCCTGAGTAGAGCCAGATCAGGAAATCATGTCATGCATACTAACACCCTGGCTTATTACTCGAGTCAGTGCTCGTATTTAGAGGCAAATTTTTCACTCGTACTTTCCTCGTATCTTGAGGTTCCTCTGTACTGATAGTTTGTATTCTAACCAGAGCTTCTGGTAAAATCAGAAAGCATAACAAAATAGTAGAAATCGATGAAAGCCTTTTTCATGAAGTGCAAAAAAAAAAAGGTTAAATACTGATTGTTTATTAAATAAAGGAGTACTAGTTCTTCAGAGTTTTCACAGGAATTATTGGTGCCAGTTTGGTGGGATCTCCACCAACTTTCATGTTTCTATGGTAGCCAACTGATACAGTCAATGGGATAATACACAAGTACTTTAAAAGCATCATTTATTGAGAAATTGTACTTTTAAAATTACTACTTGTTTTTTTTAATATTCAAAATATATCATTTCTAGTTATGTAATGCAATGCATAGGCTGTAATGAAATGAAAAAGAAATTTCCTTGAGTACTGCAAAATTTGTTGCATTATTGTCATTAGAAAAATAAAGCGGAAAAGTGAACGTGATGTGAAAGCAGCAAAACATATATCCTCTTACCTTCCAGAATATATAAAACATGCATTTTAGAGCACATATATATAATTAAAGGGGGATATTCCTATTAAAATTCTTATATTTCAAATTAAATTAAGAAAGCTAATAAAGTAAAAGAATTACGATTTGAAGTCTAAAATTTCCAATTTGTAAATTTTAAGTAATATTAAAAAATTTTTAAATGTTTAATAAAAATTTTTACAATTATTAAAAGTAACATTTACAAGTAGTAAAAGTTATAAAAAAATGTAGTAAATTGGCATGAAAAAATTGTTTTACTAGCAATGATAATAATCCTTACTTACATTTGATTATTTGTTAATAGAGTACAAAGTCCGTAATCCGGACTTGTCGGGACTTCAGCGATTCTGAATTAAGGGTTTTTCTGGATTATAGATAATCAATTTAAATCTGGTAAGATGGCATGCAGAAATTATACAGGTTTATTAATAATACAGGAAATTATACAGGTTAAAAATATGAAATCATAATTTACAAAATAAAGAGCAATTATGATCTAAAGGGTATCAAAATTTACAAAAAAAAAAAAAAAAAAAAAAAGCTTAATATTTATTTGTTTACTTTATTAAACATTTCTTTGAATGTAAGTTGTTTAAGTTGCTTCATTTTTTGTGCTAAACGCGTAGGAGATAATATAATCAATTAATCAATATTATTTAGAAAATAAATTATAAATATATATAACAAATATTCTCTATTTGTATAAAGCTAATTTGAAGTTAGCTTATTTATTTAAAGGTTTTCATCTTTAAATTAGCTTTATATGAATTGAGAAGATTTGTTAAATTCAAATTTCATTCCTTGCAGCAATGGCGCAAGAGAGTATTTAAATTTAATTTAATTGTTACTCTTTATATTATATATATATATATATATATAATATACTTATATATATATATATAATGAATTCTATACTTAAATTCATCTCATTTAAAATCTACTTTATTAACTTAAACTCATCTTACTAAATACCTGTTTGGCATAATTCTTACTTGAGTAAAAGATGAAACACCTTCACATTTATTAATTAATTTTAATTGATTGGGAGTTCGTTTGTTCCCTTTGAAAAGTCAGCCTGTCAATGACGATAATTACTTGTTTTGTTGATTGCATTTTCATGTTTTTGAAAGTTTCCATTTTCAATTTATTCATGATTCATATTTGATGTTTCATTTTAAAAAAATTTCAAAATTCATTTTTAATTATCCTTATATGTTACTTCATTCCACTAAAATTCTACTACCTTTATCAAAGAAGGCAATATACTAAATAATCCATTAGTAAATAATATATATATATATATGCTGTGGAATACTGTGTTAGCTGGTCTGCCAGTAGTGGAGTGTTTAAATTATGCAAGTTATTCCTGAATTTTGTTTCTGGTAATTGAATGACTACATCAAATTTATGTGGTTCTCATATGGAATGCAAATACTACTATTTTCCTTGCAAAGTCTTCCAATAGGGCATTTCTACACCTAGCCAGGTGGGTCCTTGGCTGCTTTTATATATATATATATATAATGTTGTATGATCTTAAATTCATTTATTGCAAAACATTACATGTTTTTAATTTAATTTTTCCTTTTACAATTGAAATTTTGTTCTTCATGATGATTTAATTCCAGTCCCCGTTAAAACATTATTAACATTTTACTTTCAAGTTACTTCAAAACATCTTTCAAAATATAACTTACCAGTATGGATTCACTCTTTTAAAATAATTCTACTTTAATTAAACTTAGGAGATAATATAATCATTTAATCAATATTGTTTAGGAAATAAATTATATATATATATTCAAAGTAATCTGAAATGCTACTGCAGAAAAATTTTATTAGTATGTGTTGCTTTGATTTGTTGCTGAGTAAATTAATGTGCAATGGAATATTTTTTAATTTGTGTTCAGTGAAAATAATAAGCTTTTGTGTGTTTTATGCATTTAAAATTTTGTGGCTGTTACAAATGAGGCAGTTAACTAATGTACATATGACTAAAATGAAAGCATTCCAATTCTGTTCTTAGCTGCAAAACAGGCTGTTGCTTCAAGCTTTCGTGGTTTTCCTCATTTGTAATATGAATACAGGTTGGCAAATGTCATCCATAAAGGCATTCTGCAGCCCTTGTATACATTATCGAAGCCTAAATAAACAAGTTTGAAAATAAAAAAACTTCATTGAATATATGCAGTATGTATAAAATGATAATCGGTGTTTCTCTCAATCTGTGTGCCCTTGAATGTTTGTATAGAAGTATATATCGTACTGGGGGGGGCATCATGCAAAAAAGGTTCTTGACAATTGGCTTCAGTTGTTCTAGCTGTGCTTCTGTCACCTGACAGTACCAGTAGACCACAAAACATTTTATGTACTACAATTTGTGAAATCAGAATGTGTAACTTTCTTTCCTTTCCAAGCAGTCATTCCAAAAGCAATTTATACTGATTCATTCTGTCAAAAGCATTGAGCAATAGTGTGAGCATGTTAAGGCAATAGAGCTTGTATTAAAAAAATATATAAATAAACAAATAAATGTCCACTTTGTGTGTTATGCAAATATTATTATTTACTTTTTCAGAATTCTCGTCTGGAGCATTTAACTCTTCCAATATCATCTCAAGTAATGGAGGCTGTCTTGGAATTCCTTTATACTGATAATACTAATAAAGTGTCAGGTTTGTACTTTATTTTATCATTATGAGATATATATTACTATTATTACAATTTTATAGTGTTTTCTGTAAATTGGCATTATAATGAAATGTTAAATTTGTATTGTACAACACTGAAATACAAGTTTTTCAAAAAATTATTTAGTAATGATAAAGTTTAATTATTACTACTACACAGGTAAATATCAGATATATGTACTTCTGGCAGAGCACACAAAAGATGAGAAATTCATGTGTGGTTCTCTCATTAACTTGTGATCTACAAGCTAAACCCAGACAGTCATGCAGCATGATATTATAGAAGCAATAATGTGTTCAATAATATCTCTCTTACAAAAGTCATAATTTCACAGCTAGTGTCAGAGGATATTGTTCATCTGCACTGTGTCTATCATTAAATACCCTTGATTTCAAATGGCTTCTACAACCAATGATCTGCAGCTCTATCATCTTCAATTATATTGAATTATAGGGCTGAAAATACAACAGAAAAATTAAGAGCATGACTAATTCAATTTGTGAAATTTGCCAGATGAGCAAGTACAACAGAATGCTCTGAAACTCTTAAATGAAGAGACTCTTGCTGCTAGCAGGAACTGATATCTTCATACACAGCTGGCCAATGAATTAGAGACCTTTGAGATTTTCATTTGAATGCATGCTAGGGATGACGTATGCAATTTTTTTTATGATGGTTGCACATGGTTAGAATTCTAATACGAGTAAGGTGTAAGAGTGCTTTTCACGATTAATGAAGTAAAATGGGAAAAACGACAGATCTTTCACCATTTGAAAAAGGGCATATTGTTGGTGCCCATTTAGCAGGGGGCCTCAACTTTGAAGACAGAAAATCTCACTGAGTTTTCAAAAGCAGCCATATCAATTTTCAAAAGTTAGAACCCATTGTTCTTCTCTAGAAGGACTACAGTTAGAGCACAGTTTTTCAAGATAGTGATCGGCGGCGTCTCCAATGAATTGTATAGCAGAACAGAGAGTCTACTGTGCTTCAACTGACACAGATCGTCAACCAATGCTCTTCCCAACATATTTCAACTCAAACTGTGCACAGAGAATTGCAGAGGATAGGAATGCATAGTCGGGTGCCTGTGAGAAAAACCACTCATTTCTGCCCAACATGCAAGAAGTCTTTTGCAGTGGTGTGGGCATCTGAGGATTGGAAACAGGTAATGTGGTCGGATGAATCTCGCTACACCTTATTGTACACTGATGGAAGACGTCGAATTTGGTGAGAACCCCATGAAGCCATCTTGCCTTAATCACATTGTGCAAGGGTCTGGTGGGAATAACATGATATGGGGCATGTTCTGCTGCCATGGAAGTGGTGCACTGGTGTTCCTCGAGAGTAAACAAACAGCCATGAGATACCTAAATGTACTGGCAGATCAAGTGCACCCTGCAATGATATATTTTTATCCTGATGGCAACGGTTCATGGACATTAATGCAACTATACATCATGGCAGAAGTGTTCAAACTTGGTTCGCTGAACATCAGTCTGACTTCCAGCACCTTCCCTGGCCATCGCATAGCCCGGATCCATTAACCCCATAGAAAATGTATTGGATATGGTGGAAAGACACATCTAGCAGCACTCACCTCTTCTATCTAAAGCTGCAAGCTGCATAGCCAATGTATGTATTCTTTGGACGTAATTGCACTCGAGAAGCATGTAGACTCGATGCCGAAGCGATTCAGAGCAGTTATCCATGAGGTAAGGTGGTCCAATAAAATATTGAACTTAATTCATTGGCCAGTGTGTATATAATGAAGATAATTAGCTATGCTTATTTTTTAATAGTAATTAAAATACTGCTTCTATGGTTTTAATAGTCAATTGTTAATTTGCTGTTAGTACTGTTAGTAGCATTATTACGATATTCAACTTTTCATAGATTATTAATTGTGTTTGAATTCCATATTGCATTTATTCTTTAGCAAGCAACATGCAACTAAACCACCATTTACCTTATATTCATCCAAAAATTCGGTTTAGGTGTTTTGGTTATTGATATCATCATTAAATTCTCTTAGTATGATGAGTATTAAGTATTGCTGTTGCTATTAAATGCTGTTTTATGGCAATGCAGTCTATATAGTCAAATGATGTAAAGCACGTTATTTTATACTGCCTTTAAGTTTACTGATGATACAAAACAATTTCAAGATATGCTTTCCTTCTGTAATAAACTGGGAAAGTGAGTAATAAAATTTAAAAGCTTCTCATCTGTATTTATTTAAAAATTTCTAAATTTCTGTTTTTATTTTTATTAATTGTGACATAAAAATTATGTAAAAATTTTAATAATGTGTAGTTTTAAAATATGAAAATATTTTGTATTTCACATTTTTAAAGGCTTACCTTGCATTAATGCTCCCTTCCCTTGGTATTTTCCACAGCTATTATAATGTCAGTTTTCCTCAGCATAATTATTTTCATTCTTTATTATTCTTGTGATCTTTCTTTCGTTTTCAGAGGACATCAAGAGTGTAAGGATGTGTAGTTTTTAAAACTGTGTGAAAATGTACTGTAGTTTACATTCTAAGAGCTACTTTTCATTAATCGTTTCCTCCTCTTTGATTTTCTTCAATTTGCTAATTCAGTAATAATAATTACCATATTACTGTAAATTTAAGTCACACTTTCAATTAAATTTTTATGATGTAAAAAAAGTGTGTGACTTAAATTCAGAGTGAATATTTTAACATCTTGCATCTAAAGCAGAATTTCGAAAAATTAAGTAGCTTATGATATTTATATTAGGATTTACTTAAGTCAATAACTTTTTTTCTGATTTTCCTTTATATCTGTTAGAAAAACAGTACTATTTTTCCAATTTTAAAATCCTTCTAGACTTAAATTTGAGGGTGGCATCTTTTTTTATATTTTTTCGTATTTTGAAATCCTGTTGCAGCTAAAATTCGAAGTAATAAAGTATTGTCATGGCTTGTGTTACACAGTTGCTAGAATGTGTTTCAAATGATTTCGAAAGACATTAGATAATGTCTTTTCCAATTAGCTAAGTATTGCATGCATTTTAAAATATAGAGAATTAATATGGGGAAAAATTTCCATGTATTTTTAAAAATTTAGTAATTCGTAGACTGACACACTTAATGCATTTTTCAAAGGTACCGTCTTAATTGACTTTCTGAATTATATTTATTGAAAAATTATGCAGTTTGTTTCTCGTGACCAAGACAGTGACTTTCCACATTTTGATAGAAGTTTCTAGACTGCTTTCAAATTCCTGTCTTTGATGGCTATGCATTTTCTAGAAACTACGTTAATGGATTTCCATTATCACCAGACAGTGCTTGATTTCTGATTTGTAAACCTATTTAAGCTTTAAAAATACTGTAGTTCTTTGATCTGTTGGCTGCAACAAAGAAGTTGTATTAGGTAATAAAAATATCACTTTTTGAATGTAATTTTAAATGTTGCCCTTTTTTTTTATTTTATTTTATTTTATTATTATTTTTTTTTTTTTTTTTTTTTTTTTTTTTTTTTTGCAGCATCTGAAGATGCTGAGTTTGTATGTCAGGTTCTAATGATCTCTGACCAACTTTTAATACCAAGATTGAAGGAAATATGTGAAATGGCATTGGTGGAATTAAGTAAGTTTGATTTAATTTGTATTGTTTCCTGATAGTAAATAATAAATCATGGTTACCTTTTTATGAAATTTTTAGATTTTATTGAAGTTCATATGCAAATAATTCATGTGCATTCATTCATATATAAATTTTTATTCCATTTGAATGTCTGGCTACAAAAAAAATGTATTCTGTATGGTTCTTTTTTTCTTTTCAATATCAAACTTTTAAATACAGAGATAACTTTCATGTTAATAATTCTAATGTCATTTTTTCCAAATTTCTTTCAGCTTTATTTTATATGTTTGTAGCTAAATGAATTGTTTTCCTTTAATTTATGAATATTTTTTATTATCACAGTATTGATGATTTTTTTTTAAATCAAAGTTGCAGAGAGGAAAATTTAAATTTATTATATTCACTTTTGACCTTTATGAAAGATTGATGCTGGAATTTTCTTTATGCTTGCATAATAATTATGTCAGATTTTTAATAAATAAATATTTTAACTTTTTAGTTACTCTCAAGAATTCTGTGGAACTTCTGGAATTATCTTGCATTTATAACTCTTTCCAGTTAAAGAGGTCTTGCATGCAATTTATTTGCATAAATTTAGCAGCTATTATTGAAGCAAGGTGAGATTCTAACTTTAAAATGCTATGAAATTTGGGCCTTGTTCATGTGCATGTAAGATAACATTTAAATTTTCAGCATCCCCTGAGATTTTTTTTTTTTTTTTTTTTTTTCTTGTCCTGAAAGCAGTAGAAATAAATGGGTTTCATTTGCTATTTATATAATACTAGTGATATTTTAAAGCTTGCACAACCGTAAAATGCACATAAGTCCTTTGTTCTATAATAGAAATGTTTCTTTGCTAAATTTTGAAACCAGTCATGCTATTGGATCTTCCAGTATTAGCCTGTTGTTTTGAATTGTAGAATATAAGTTTCACATTTGTAGAATAGCAGCTTTAGAATGAAAAGAGAACATTCACATCGTGATTAGTTAGGATTTCTTTCTGATAGAGTTTTATTGTACATTCTGCAAAAAAAAGGGGGAGACGGTTCTATATATCCCATTCTACTGGGTCAATTGACAAAATTCAACTTGCGTTTTTCATGTCTTGAAAGCACGAATTATAATATGTATTAGATATATATATATCATTGTTCTAATATAGGTATTTTGACGTAAAATCAGACTTTTTCTGAAATGACTTGCCACATTTTTCCGTATTTTGATTCTACGACTCATATTATGCCAAACTGCCAAGTTTTGTAAAAATCCCACAAGTAGTTTCTAAATAAGCTCAAAATTTTTAGCTCCTTATTGTTAATTGAATCTATATATTTATTAATATTTCTCTTTTTTTATTAAACTTACTCTATTCCTTCTTCCATAATTCAAAATTTAGGCTTAATCCAAATGTAATTAATTTGCACAGTTTTATGATTTATTTTTAAAATTTGTATTTTTAAATATTTTTATTAATTTTTTGTATTATAACATATAAAATTTTTAACATCATCTTAAAGTAGATGTATTATTAGACACATCTGCAAAAAATTAGTTTTTTATTCAAAATATTCTAAGATGTACATGAAATTGCATATTGGAGCATTTTGAAATTTGGCATCTTTTTTTTAAGCAATCATAATGCCAGATGTGGTTTACTTTGTTAATATTAATTGAAAATATAAATGAGGACTTTTTCCTCCCACTTGCCTGCAATGAAAAAAAAAGTAATAAAAAATAGGTTGCTACAAGGTAAGGCATTCACCAAGTAAATTATTCCTGGTGCAAACTGAGAAAAACCCGCCAAGATAAATTCGAGACTCCACACGAGAGGACTTTCGGCTTGCTCAATATTTAGAGTGTCGTATCGACACTATACATTTACAAATATCTATGCCTTAAATATCTTTGAATTCGGGCCCTTCAGCACAGCAGTCAGTGATGCTAACCACTATACTGGTTAGACAGCTTCTTGCAGTAATGAACTGTGCATATGCAAAAGGTCTTTAAAACTACTACATGTAATTGTAAAAGCCATTGTTGCTGTCAATTGGACTTGGTTTATGATAGCAGCAAAAGGGATAAATGTAATACCATTTTGCTAGGACCATGTCCAATATTAAAAATGAGTAGCAAATTAATTTCAAATTTCCTGTAAAATTGAAAAAAATCTTCTACTGAATACTCAAAATAGCCACCTGAGGAGTAGTGAAATAGAGTGATGCGAATTGCATGAAATGCTTGAATAGCAGTGATAAATATTAATGTTCTATGCTAGCACCTGTATCTTTAATGAGAAATAATTATTTTTCAAGTTAAAGATTTTTTGCGGCAACAGCAGTGTATCGCACGAGAGAGTCATCTTTGATTTGTATGAGTTAATGTTTTATTAAGTTCTTTTTAGAGTATATTTTGGTTTATGAGCTGATTCATTGAAAGAAGAGTCCTTTATTGAAAAAAAAAAAAACAGAAATTATATTCCAGAGATTGTGATATTTAGCACAGCAAATTACTGAATTTCCCCATCACTGAAAACTGAGCAGAAGGTTATGGAAATCAATAAAATTTTAATTCTTTGTGTTGCAGTTTCAATCTTAAGAAATAAATGTTTACCCTGGGCAAAACTCATATCTAAATTTATCCTTAGATTGGTTTAAAGGTTAGAAAAGCTCAGTGCATTTTGAGAGGTCATTTTGATTCAGATCTATCTGTTTTCAAACAGCAAAAATTTTTCTAAATTTTAATTTCAATCTAACATGTTTTTCAGATAATATAAATACTCTGGGGTGTAAACACTAACTTAGTATTTTACTATGGCAGTAACACCTTTGGGGGATTAAAAACAGCCTGCCAGTTCCAGAACCTGAGGGAAGATCATCTGTATGATCGTATAGAGGGAGGCTTTGGCGTAAGTCCTAGATGGTACTAGTAGCTCAGCTGGTCTGAGTATTCTGGTAATGTTCTTGGTGACAGGCTGTGCACATAGTACTGGCGGGGGCACTTTGATGACAAGTCAAATCACCAGGTCAACAACAGTACCTGTAGTTTGCTTTCCCTTGGTGTGGTCTCCAAGATTGGAGGTGAGATGAGTGTCTGGAGTTCCGGAGTATTTTTTTAATTCTGCGTTGTGGGATTGATATCTCTGTGGCATAGCAAGTTAGTGCATTATACAGTATTATTAATATGCATTATACAGTATCTGAAAGTAGTTTGGTTTAATGTTGATCTGTTAGAAAGTAGAAAAGAAAAAAAGTGATTATGTTAAACTTTAAATTTGAATGACTAGACTGTAAATTATGCTAATGTATGTTTCTATCGATGAAACTGTAACAGTGTAAGAAAGCATTATTTTGAAATATTGTCTGTTGGTATAATCTTATAAATGTTTGTTCTCCCTTTTTTTTAACCCAAAGAGGATATTAATCTTGAAATGGGATCTTATGTTGGTTCACTATAAGTGGTGAACCTTTTTCAAATTGAAATTTCTTTTTTTAAACGAAGCATCTGCATGTGTGTATTTTCCTCACATTGTGAAAAACACGATGGTACATAGAGCTATAAAATTTTGGATAATGGCCATCCTCCACCTGAGCATGTGCACCTAGAAGCCTGATTTTTAAATTTGTCATCTTTTGTAAATTTTTAATGAATCTTTGATTAACAAACTCAACAATTTGAATACAAGCAGTGGCAGTATTATACTGAATAAAACATTTTTATCTCCTGTGTGTGAAATCTTTCGGAAATTCTAAAAATATGTTTTTAAATATTTTGTCATTTAGCTGTTTAATTGAATTTTATGTGGTGCAAGTGCAATAAATGAGATATTTAATAAGTGAAATTAGCACACAAAATGCTAATAATAAAAAGGCAAAAAGTTTTGTAAGCTCTCTTACTAAAAAAAACATTAATATAATAAACTAAGAAAAGACTGAAAAAAAATAGAAAAAATGTATGCCAACACTTAACATTGGGAATTTTGAACATATGCTGCTTTTAATTTTTTTGTGGTTTTCCTGTTGAATTGTATATGTCATAAGTGTGAAGGAAATGATGCTTAATATTAAAGCTAAAAAGACGTAAAAGGGTTAGCAGAAGTGAGTGTAACAGCACACTAGTAGACTGCGAGCTCAACGAGAGCATAAAAAACCTTAACAAACCCTTTTAGGCAACTGTTAAAATCTAAAACCTTTCAGTTACCCACCCCCTAAGCTATAGGTCTGTGCTTCCTTATATTTGTTAACAGTGTATTTCAATGCTAAAACTAGGCCAATGAGAATGATTTTGTCTTTCTAAATATTTGTTTTCTGTTCTCTGCCCTTCTAAAAGAAAAAACAAATTAACCAAAAAAAATTTATTTGCTGGATTAATTATATTATATTATTGGCCAAAATTGTGGAAAAGGTGTATTTTTGAGGTTTGATGGTCCATAATATTACATTCCCCCTCCCAAAATAATGTTGATGAATTATATATTGTTGGAAAAGTAATCAAGAATGTAATGCAGTAGCATTTATGAGGGAGTATTTATGAAAGCAGCAGTTTTATAGAAAAGTGAAACACTTAGAGAAAACAAAATATACAAAAGTTTTCATTCAGTTAATACTGAATTGGGTGACTTTTTAATCACAACTTTACAACACATTCCCATGGAGTGAACCAATGGTTTTACTTCTGCAGTTGTTATAATGTGAAACCAAGACTGAGTTATTACTTCTGTAAATTGGGTTTTATTGATAACTTATTTCTGCTAAATAAATAAGTTCTTTAGTTGGTATTATAGCTTAAGATCTTGCCTTTCCCCAAACCCTTGCAATGAAACCTCAGTTCATGATTTGATTCCTGAAGGCCATTCATCAACCTAAATATGCATAAACCAAAATGATTTTACCCATTGGATAAAAAAAATTAATCTGTTCCTGGACCACAAATTATTGCTTATTTAGTAGTACTTTGTGCACAGGTTTTATAACTAATGGAAACCATTAAATATAATGCAAAAAAGGTAAACACAATATTAAAGTGGTGAAATAGATGGAAACATAACTTAATTTTACTGTACCTATATAAAGCAGTGTGAATGGCATAAATGAAAAGTGTCAAGGAAGATGTCGTTATTTGGATGTAAAATTCCCTACCAAAAATGTCAGCTAACTGTCTAACTTCTCTTATTTTATATTTGTCTTTGAGTGCCACTGAATTCTGCTTGAGACTTACTGAGCTTCTGTTTCCCTCAAAATTTTTCCAGTATGATTTGTTATTGCTTATGTTTCAAAATGTGTGTGAAATGAGACATAACATTATCAATAAAAATGTTTATGTAACTAACAGCCAGCTACTGTAGCTTGCAGCTACTCAGAGATATTATTTCACAAAAACTTTCCATCTTAACCCATTTTATACAAATTTCATGGGTCAGAGAACTAGGATCACTTTTCTTCTGAAGACATTTATTTCACTGTCACCTTTTGTTGCTGCTTCTGAAGCTGTTGTTACTCTTTTAAGTCAAACATACTTTTATAGTCCTCTGGTAACTTCCGCATAGTTAACTTCCTAGCCTATGATTTTGCCTAGAGACAGAATATTATAGATAACAAAAGAAAGTACTAAGTATCGAGATGCTCAGTCTCTGTCTGCAACCCATCTGGTCATAATTCATGGTATTCTAAATTACTTGTTGCTAAGCTTTGCTAATGAGAGTTAAGCAATGGGAAATATTAAAATGATTTTTTAAAAAATAAAGAAATGTTAATTCTATGCCAGAGGTACTTCAAAACACCTTCAAAAATCTTATGTTGCCAACTTGAATGTTCGTAAGTTGATACACCATTTATCATCTGATGTGTTATTTGTTCACAAAATTTCTTTGTCATCCGAGGTTCAACTGTACTTTTAAATCGTTTTTTGTGCACAGCAGCAAAGTGATTTCAAGCTAAATTCTCTTGAAATATAAATGCTTCATTATTCTGGAAAGGTTCATGTGCAGAAGGCTTCAGTTTTGCCTTTTACATATTTTTTGGCTTTTATATACCCATTAATCACACAAATTCTGTCCATACTGTTTGATGTCACAAAATCTCGCATCATGATGCGAACAAGATGTTTCATGGTGAGGGTAATGTAATCAAGATGCATATCTTCTTCAATTCTTGTTTTTATGTATTTCATGTCATTGCTGCTTAATACTGATCTTTTGGTATCATCATTGTAAATAATGCTGTTCTGTTGTTTTATTGTCCAATTACATAGATTTTTAACCCATTTTAATCTTTCTGCCATGTTTTTTGGAAGATAAAAATGGCATAGAATTCCAGCATTTAGATCAAATTCCTGCAGTTTGTGGTGAGCAGTCCTTGCACTCAATTTCATGTTGGATTTCATTACTGGATAACATTTTGTTGTGCTGACCAAGTTGATTTCCTTAGGCATAATCATTTCATTCTTCAGTTGCCACTTGGTATTGTACATTCTTTTCTACTTTTACCAGTCTGGTTTTGTGGGGACTAACTCTCCTTACACCTCTTCAAAAATGTAGAAATGCCATCTTTGATTAAGTTTCAACATTTCCTTGCAATTTCTTCACAATTGTAGCTTTATTTATTTAATAGTGCTATTTTACATTGCTTTTCATGTAACTAGGCACTCTTTGCTTTATTTCTTTAATTCTATTACATTTTAAAAACTCAATATTAAAGAATACCAAAAAAAAAACGTTTTGATAGCAATCTTGTAGCATACTCATAACGTCTTTCTCTGAATTCCAATCTGTGACATTATCAGCTGAATATTATCATGACCAGATTGGCTCATTATCAAAACTAGATGATGCCTGCAGGGCTCTCAAACACTTATACTCATCGGCTACGTTGAAAGGAAGGAAATTTATTTTACAGTACCTAAGCAAGTTGTGCTTTCCCCCTCATTGTTTAGCATACAGATGAATTGATATTCTTTGTCATATTCTTGTTTAAATGATCTTTTCATAAATATATAATTTTATTGTATTGCTCAGAAATAGAATTGTAGTATGAGCTATCAAATCTCAAAGATACACTTTTTCAAAATATTTCCATTAGTTTGATGTGTGGTGTATATATCTGATATTTAATAAAATAAATATTCATGTAAAATTATTATATCGTTATGAAGCTGTATTATCACATTTAATGCTTTTCATAAAATGTGTCCATGGTTCTACAGAAATCATATATTCAGTAAAATAAATGTTATTTGTTATAGCAAGGTATTTGAAGCGTAGGCTTCTAGAAGGGTTATGTCTGTGGTTATCTTTCTAAGGGAAACTCGCTTGTATTTCTGTCACATATAAGAAGGTCTGTAAAAATTGCAATTAGTAACAGAATTAGGCTGACAGACTGAGTGGACTGGTTGACCACATGTGTACAATGTAACAGAAGTGTGCACTGAAGCACCAAAACATTATGATCGCCTACTCAATGTTGCATTGCATGACCTTTGACATGCAAAACAGTTACACCTCACCTTGACCTAAATGCCACAAATTCTTTAAGCAGCAGTTATGCAAAGTCAAGATATTCCAACATGATGGTATTTGAGCTCTGAGCTGCTGCTCCATGACATCCCAAATGTGCTCTATTGAGTTAAGATCCGGCAGGTTAGGTGGCTAGGATATTAATTGGAATTCATCCTCATGCCTCTTGACTCTAACACAATTTGAGCCTTGTGACGTGGGGCTTTGTCCTGCTGGAAGGTTCTATTTCCAGTTCGGAACACAGATGCCATGTAAGGGTGCAACTGATCAGCAGTTATGTTCAGAGAATCTGCAGCTATTTAGATCTGTTCAATCACATTTAAAAGTTCCAGAGCCACGCTTGAGAACATCCCTCAAAGCACAATACCCCCACTACCAGCTTGTATATTACCTGCTTTACAGGAGGAAGAAACCGTTCATCTTGAAGATGACATACCTGATGATGGTCATCATCAACGTGGTGAATGAGAAATCATGATTCATCCAACCACACAACTGTCTTCCACTTATCCGTGGTCCAGTCTGAGTGTTCCTGGACCCAATGAAGTTGACAATGATACTTGGTCAACAGAGGCACACAAATGGGATGTCTAATATGTTGTTCCATATCCAACAATGTCTGCTGAACTATGTGTTCTGAAACACTTGCATTTGGACCTGTCAGCAATTTTGCTGTACTAAGCAGGACAGTCTCCAACCTCCTTTTTTTTTTTTTGATGATGTGTGGATATCGAAAACCTTGGCGTCTAGTGCTAGTTTCACAATCATTTATCCACTTTTCATAAATGCTAACAACAGTAGATCATGAACAACCTACCAGTCATGCAATTTCAGAGATACTCATTCTTAGTCTTCCACCATTAGAATTCTGCTCTCTATCAAACTTGCTTAGATAAGCAGCCTTTCCCATCAATCACAAAAGTAAGTGCAGGAATGATTCCTTATCTTCTACAGCAGCAGTTAAATACCATTCTTACTTGATAGTGTGCCCTCCTCATCATCCAGATGAGTTCGTTGAAAACTGTAGGGATGGTCATAATGTCGGTGTACTTCTCTAGCTCTTAAGTTAAATATCTAATGTGGACACATCACATGACTTCCTTGTATGGCCTATTAAATTATACACATTTTCTGCTGCTTTCCATTTAAACTTATTTCCTCTAATTTCATTAGAGATTTTTTTTTCATTCAATTAATTCAGTTCTCATGTCCCGGTACGAGTTTCTACATAAAAACAAGCAATCTGGCCAGTGGTAAGAAGGCCGATTTTTCAGTGCACAGTGCTGAAAGTTTACATTTTTTTCCCACTCTGTAAAAATACACAGAAGATGGTGCAGAAGCTGAGTTCGTTATCCTACTAATAGTTTCGAATTTAAATAAATGGTGGCCTCATTAAACTTAACTCTTAAATTGCTGATAATGCTACAACTATTATATACAGATTAACTAAAGGTATAAAAACCCTAACCGGAACATAAGGGCAACATAATTCAACCACTTTTAAAGCAAAAAATTCTTAATTTACCAACATATAAGACTAAAAAAACTGAGCCCGCAGAGCTGGGTAACAGAGTGGATGTATGTATAACCATTTTAAATCCATTTGACAATTTGTTTTAGAAAACAAGAGTCCT